ACAGATATATTGCTTAGGGAAGAGTTCATGGTGTACAGACTGAAGTCAGATGATCAGTATATTAATGGCGGTGTATTACAGAATATGAGGCAGAGTAAAGAGACTTGAGAAGTGGAAAGAGAGAGATACACTGGATGTCAGTAGTAATAGACAGAGAGATGACAGGATGGACAGTTTCATAATGTAAAAGTGTCAACATACTGTATGAAGAGTAGATGACAAAAAATATTGTGAAACGTTTGAGAAATAAATGACAACGGAAAAGCAGGAATGATGAACTAAAGCACTGCCAACATAAACCTTAAGGCATGTTTGTAACTTTTGCCGCTCTACTGTCAACACATGACTGTATTAGTCAAAGTTTAACTATTTAAATCTTTACAATTTACAGATACAACAGTTATGCTTAGTTGTAAATAATTACATATTGTTTTTCATCTCAAATTAATAACCAGTTTCCATTTTGGTGTCACCAAGTGCCATTTTTCAATATTTACATTCTACAAAGAAAATGTTTCATGAACCGTATATTTAGTGACTTTTACAAACAAATTTAAATTATAACTTATTCAGACTTGTGCCTTTGAATTTATTGATTTTTTGAGTTAATGACGCACAGTTTAACATATTTATTTGTAAAATATATTTAATTTAAATAAATTGCTCATTACTTTACAAAATATTTAAGCTTCTCTCACTTTTAGTCTATAATGATATAACAGAATATTTTACTTGAACATTAAACCCACATCTATCATCTTTCTAAAGAGTCCTCAGTTATGCGTGTACTCCAGAGGGTTCATGAACTCTGACTGGTTTAGTGTGTGTATGTCAGGTTTGGGTTTGAGCTCAACTAGTGGGGGCGACTGTTAACAGGTTAACTCTTGATCTCCAAACTTCCACTGTATCTGATCACCAGTAACACCAGTGTGTAGAGTGACAGTATCTCCCTTCAGCACTGATAGTGATGTCACATTATCTGTCATAGTAACAAACACATGAGGAGAACAAACAGAAACAGATTAAATCAGATCAAGTTAATAATGCTTCAGGTCTAGAAGTCAGAGATGCTGAAAATCTTTGACTCAGATTCTTTAGATGCTGCTCTTGCTTTTCTTTTGCTCTCTGTTTTTGTTAAATGTTGAATTGACATCTGAACCTCTGCCTATCTAGGGTTGTTGACGTTCATTGTTATTTTTTGAGTTATTAAGTTTGCTAAGTTTTCAGTCATTGCAGTTTATACTATGGTCTGGGTGAATACTCGATTCTGATTGGCTGCAGGGTGTCCATTAAAAAGTGATAGAGGACACCTAGTAAAGGAGTTCTGGTGAAACTGACTGTTTACCATTCAAAATGAATATATAAATGTGCTGGCTATATCAGCTGTGAGTAACCATAGTGTTCTACGAGCTGAGCGGACCATAAATATATCCGCTTGCTAAATAAACCGTCAGGCGTAACCAGGGAATCCAAATTTCTGTTTGTAAAAACTTAACATTTTGATTGTAAAACTAATTCAAATATAAACTATTGTTATAAAAATGTGTTATTTGGCAAGTGACCATGGTATAAACGGGTTAATGTCCTTTGAGGTGTCCATTGTCAGGTATTAATGGACTTCGGCGGAGGCAACTGTCCAACGCACATGCCTCGCCATCATCCATTAATACCTGACAATGGACACCTTGTCGGCCATTAACCCCTACTTAAATTAGTACGCTCACCTGTAATTATTTTTGATTTTACATTATTTTGTTTATGTTGTGTTTTTCCTACTTTTATCACAGTAAAGTTTCTTCCTTGGTCACTGAAACGGTTTGTATCTTTCTGAATGACTGCTTATATTGATCCCAAACTTGGATCACGACACTGCACTCTTAGAAAAAAAGGGTTCATTGGGGTTCTATATACTGTATGAAGCATAGGGTTCTTTAGTCAACTCCAAATAACCTTTTATGATAAAAAAGGTTCCATAATGACAAGAAAGAACCCTTTTGGCACAAAGGTTCTTTATAGGCTATTATTCATTCATATATTACATTATTCTGCAACATTTTGTAGTTGTAATTAAATTATTTTTTATTAAGCTGCTAATATCACATTTTAATCATGCTGATTTTTGGAGGAGAAAAACTGAAATGGCACTCTTCGTGTGATATTGATTAACAACATAAAATGATATAAATATATACATTTTCTAACACCCATATCTTGAATTTTGTGATCATTCACACGCATTCATAAATACATTTTAGGGTCTTGATGTTTGTCAATAATATGAAACATTTAATCCGGAAAGGACAAAACAAATGATAATGAATGAACCCAAAAGGTTCCATATAGAACCTTTTTCTGATTACAAGGAACCGTAAAGGGTTCTTATTATTGAACCCTTAAAAAGGGTCCTGTATATAACCTTTTAGGGGTTCCAAATATGTAGCGCTGATAGAAACTTTTACGGTTCTAACTAGAACCTTTTCTTCAAAGAGTGTGGAAATAAATGTGTTTTATGATGTAAAATGCGTGATAACTATTTCAGAATCTGCACTATATTTCTAGGTCATTAATCAAATGAAAGTACTAGTGACAGAACTTTGAACAAAAGCTGAATTTTTAGATGCTGGTGTCAGTGAACATATGTTGATATTTGCTTATGAGTCGTCAAAGGAAGAAACTATTTGTAAATGTTTGAATTCTTTTGATGATATGTTTTAATGTTATGGCAATCATTTTTTGTTGTGCAGCTCATTTTGGCCAAGTCTTTCTGTAAAAGAGATTCTTAATCTCAGAAAGTTTTATCTGGTTAAATAAAGGGCAATGATAAAAAATAAGAGTAAATAAGTGTCATTGATCATGTGACTTTACAGCTGGCGCCTCAGCATGTTGTAAAGATCGTCTCAGATTAAATATATTCATTTTGGAGCTTCATCCATCATCAATCTTATTAATGTGTCTCATAAAACACTGCATTAAATATTAATAAGCAGTGTCTTCTACAAAAACAATATTTCACAATAACAATAAACAATAAAAATTCTAACAATAAATCTAATCTGTATGAGCTTTGTTGCTGTTGTTTACCATCCTTCATATCATGTGGATACAGGAAGATTGAATAAATGAATAAAAGAAAGTAATGTAAAGAGAGAGACATGTTCAGATTCAACAAAACATCATTAACACAACACAACTGTATATGTTCAGTTATATGCATCTTGTTTCTTCTTTTTAAAGTTGTGAAAATAACTCTAGATTCCTCTTTGCTGTAAATATCTGAATCATTAATGTTATAGTTTAGTCATTTCATAATATTTACTTTAAACATATTTCACTTTTTACAAATTATTTATTATTATTATTTTCATTTACTAAAACAACATGTTTTGAAGGAAAAACTTCTGATTATTCCACATCATCTAAACTGTTCTCAGAAAATGAATCTAGATATGAATCCAGTTATCAGATTGTAAGACTTGAGTACTCACCGGTGACAGTAACATTGAATATTTTGACAATCTCATCATTGCCACTGAAAAGTAGTTTATAGAGTCCAAAGTCTGTGGTTGCAATGTTTGTGATGGTCAGAGATCCAGTCTGCTTATCCAGCTTCAGTCTGTCTCTGAATCTCTCATTAGGATATGTTGGTGATCCTTCTGCTTCCATATTTGCTATCCTTGCTGTACCCAACAACCACTTAACTGAATAACCTTCTGGTAATTCAGCTTGAGGTTTTAGAGTGACTGAATCTCCCTTCATCACTGACACAGTCACATCAACACCAAACGCTCCTGATGGGGGGAAATATCATTAAAAGATGTTAATTCTTGATAAATCCAGTCATTTTTTGCAGTGCACCAAATGTTAGAATGAATTTCCCCTGATACACAGTGTTTTTCATTATTACTGCAGTGTTCTCTGAAACAGAGAGATGGACTATCCTGTCAGAAAAAAAGGTACGAAAGCTGTCACTGGGGCGGTACCTTTTCAAAAAGGTACACTTTTGTACCTAAAGGGTGCATATTGGTACCATAATTGTACGTACCATGAAGGTACCAATATGCACCCTTTAGGTACAAAAGTGTACCTTTTTGAAAAGGTACCGCCCCAGTGACAGCTTTCGTACCTTTTTTTTCTATAGAGTCTGAGTCTAGCATTATTCAGATAATATATATCCATAAAGAATGTTTTAAAGTTCTTCACAGATATAGGGGAGACCAGAGGGTGTTGTAAATTGGGAGTTAAAACACCATCACTTTAACTTAGAAATGAAGTAAGTGAGCAAAATCAGTCATGATTCATGTATGAACACCAGCATCCTCAGATCACAGTATTGAGTTAAAGAAAAAAAAAGAAAAGAAAAAAAAAGATTTGAGGTAAAAGTTAAATTTCAGGAATTTATAAAAAAAATAGATTTGCAAATGTTTTGGAAGTGGAAAAAAGCAACAAAAAAAGCAAACATCAAGTCAAATTTTATCTCCAGTACTTGTTTCCATTTACAGTTGTTATAGGTTGTAACAAATTGTAGTAGCCCATTTTAGAATTAAAATGTAACCATTTGTTTACATTTTTTAATCAAAATACTTTGGAAGAAATAAAGATGGAGTTTGTACAGCATAATTTTTAGAAAGGAAAACTTAGCACAAAAATTCGAACTAACCCCACCCACACGAGCGGCAACAACAGAGCTCGATCTACTTTTGAGGCAAATATTGATAATTATGAGCTTGATGAAGAAATGCAACTAGTTTTCTACTTCTGGTGTAGCCTGTTATATTACACAGAGTAGCCTACCTCAAATAAATGACGAAAAGATTTTTTAATTAGAAGTTTTTAATGTGCATCTGCTGTTGATCGATAATGAGCCACACGCATTTCCGACCGACAGAGAAAGAGACACAGACACTTATATGCCTATGCCAATTTACTTAAGATTTTTATTCCCCGCTAAAACCGTAGACAATAAGCATGAGATTATTATTGTTGTTATTATAATTATAATTATTCACACAAAAATAAAAAATAATGTGTTTAGCAGAATATTACAGATCGTCTGCGCCCTCTCGTGTTCACTAACGTGACCAGACAAACACACACGCACGCACGAACAAACTTACTCCCAAAAACACCCTTACAATGGCGTTGTCACTCTCAGTCTATGATTTAGGCTATCACGTCTATTTATAACATTTTTTTAAGAAACAATGGTGATAGGCTACACGCAAATTAGATGACAAGAGCAAATGCGCATTTTCTATTTCCGGTTTATTGAAACCGAAAGTGTTGATTTAATGAAAATAAAATGTGACTCACCGTCCATGAGCAATAAAGCCCAAAATAAGAGGGAATGGTTCATCATAGATACTGAAGCTGCTTCTGGCCGCATCCAAACGGAATGAAGAAAGTCATGCAGGATGTTGTTGATGATGGGATCGGAGGAAACCGACCCGGTCACGTGATTTCTGCGAAAGAATGAGTTACGTCATACTATTTCAAATCGGTCCAAACAGTCCAAATGAAAAGAAAGAAAGAAAGAAAGAAAGAAAGAAAGAAAGAAAGAAAGAAAGAAAGAAAGAAAGAAAGAAAGAAAGAAAGAAAGAAAGAAAGAAAGAAAGAAAGAAAGAAAGAAAGAAAGAAAGAAAGAAAGAAAGAAAGAAAGAAAGAAAGAAAGAGCTCTGGTGAGCGTTACTGCAGTTGTGAGCTCAACATCTGTATTATCACTGATGATGGTATAAATACAAGGGTTTTGAAAATATTGACCCTTTTACCTAAAGTCTAGCAGAATATAGAATATATAGGCCTTTTAACAATAGGCCTACACCAAAAATAAAAAAAGTGGTGTCCCACAATAAATTAGGGTAGAGTGGGGTAAAACGTCCCCCACCTGTTTTTTCCAAAATAACCACTAGATTGATTCAAGATACATTTTTATTGTTGCTATACTACGTTGACAACGGGGATATACAAATCTCCACAAAGAAGCTGACACCAGCGACGTATTTAAAGTCCCTGTAAAGTCAAAATTAAGTAGGCTATGTGTTCTGTTTGTCATACCACAGAAAAATGTGATATTAGCCAAATTTATTAGCCACCCAGCCAAATTTGAATGATAAAAAAAAGCCGGCAAGCACATAAAATAAGCTATCAAAATCTTGAAAAAATCAGAAGTCATTTCTGTTCTCATACGCTGGGGGCGTGTCTGCTGGTTGCGCTGAAACCACGCCCACTCGCGGGAAAGCTGTCGACGGTGATATTAGGTGAAACTGCTCTCAGAACGGGAGGATGAAGGCTGAGGCAGAAGATAGTCATTTCGGCCCCTTTCACCAGCAGCATCGGATTATCAGTGAATGCCAGTTGTCTCTGAGGAAAGTTTATAAAACTTCCTGTGTAAAATGATCACTACAGAGGCGGGTGTTGCTGCCCGTGATCCTCAGCTCTTCATCAAGGTTGGCTCTACACAAAATGAATCCACCTCTTCTTGATGTGATCGCCTTTTAGGAAATTTAAATAAAGACACCGATCTGTTTTGTAAATGATCGCATCCAGGTAGAAGCCTATGAATTTCCTTGTCAAAGGCATAGCAAGCAAACTGTAGGCTGTAGTAATAATAGTACTGACAGTAACTCGAGATTGAGCGGCGAATGCAAATGTGCTCTATTGTTAGGGGAGAGATCAGCCCCTGTCTATGGATCAGCCAACGTGCGTCATCAAGTTGGGGCGTGTCCACGGGCTTTTGGGCTCCAGTGCGTCATCTGTTTTAGCCCCGCCCAAAAAATCCGTAAAAAAGCAAGGGTGAAAAACTGTTGAACGGTCTAACTCCGTATTTCAGAACTTCACAGTTCACAGTCTTTGTAATGTTTTAGCAATAAATTTGTAACATTTATAATGTGTTTAGAATTTTTTGGTTGAATTACCTTTACAGGGACTTTAAAGAGAAGAGGATGGCATGGAAAATGTTTTAATTTTCAGATATTAGTAAACAAGTGTTTAAGAGAATATTGTTCTGCAGGATATCACAGTGATGTAGCTATGATAGATGAACAATGAAGTCTGTAGTTTGAGAGCATATGTAATTTATAAGGAATATAATTATATTTTAAAAATAAAACAATATTTTTAAAAAGTCATAGCTTGGGCAAAACGCCCCCCAGGTGGCATAGCCTCTCTATCATAATTACAATAATAATATATTTCTGTCAATCAAATCCTTTGTTTTACACGTAATGCAGTATAACTACGTGGTAAAATCAAAATATTTGAACAAAACATTAATAAATTATCTCAAGTGAGCATTAGCTAGCCAGCTAGCACGGATAGAAATTTGGAAGTCTAAATGAAAACTTTGTAATATACTTTTATTAAAAATTCTCATTAGTATTTTAAGAAAACACTAAATTTACCTGGTCAAAACCAGCTCTGTTTTCAGCACGCCTAGTCACATTTATGTTTTGTTTCACAGTAATATCAAATTTTCCCTTAAGGGGGGTGTTTTCCTAGCCTGGCTGCACCCATGCACTTCCACTCAATTTCATTTTCCTTCAGTACTACTGTGCAAATGAAATGTACTAGAGTCTGGTTGAACCAGGCTAATGTTTTCCCCCACTAAGTTACAAGCCATGCTTGAAATATTTTTTAGGCCTATAAATACTATGTTTATCATAAACATGAAAAAATATTCCTGCTGATTGGATTCAGGGTATTTCCCCTGCCTAGGCCCAAGATACTGCATAGACCCTAATGTAACCGTATAGAACAAATGGTGTGTGGAGAATTGATGGATGGAAGAAAAATAATGCAGAATGTCACAAAAAAGTGATGAATCCAATATTAGGCAATTACATACCAAAAATAAAGCCGTGTGTAACAAAGTTCAGGGAAGAAGGAGGCAGGAACCGGATAATAATCAAAAATAAAACTTTATTTAAACAAAATAAACAAACAAAATACCTGCCAGCAGCCCCTCACGGACGACTGCTGGCTACCGAAAATAAAATATAAAATACCGGCCAGCAGCCCCTCACGGACGACTGCTGGCTTACCAAATAAAATATAAAACACAAACAAAAGCAGGCCTGTTCCTCTCTCGATCATCCACTCCGTCGCTCCAACTTTATGGCTCCGCTCCTTCGTGAGAGATGCGAGACCGGTGTGCTTCGCAGGTGCTGCTCATTAGCAATCGCAACACCGGCCTCGCGACTTTTTCTCTCACGTCCCTCGGCCGTCCTGCTCACCACACCGTGTTTAAATAACTCTAAGAACATTAAGGGTCAGTTTCTGTCTGCTGAGATAGATCTACTGTCAAACATCAGGATGGACGAGGAGAACTCAAAATGACAAAATTAAAGTTCAGTCAATATGAAACGAGAATTAAAGCGTAAACTTGAGCCAAGACAGTTCCTCTGTCCGTTGAGCTTCTTCTGTGAGGTTTGGGAATGAGGGAGAGTATATCTGTTATTCTCAAGATAAGGCTGATAACCTCAGAGAAGAGAAGATGCTGAAAATAAACCACAAGAACTGAGACAAACATTAGCTTCAGATCAGAGAACAGATATCAGTTTAAGATTATATTTACATCCAATGGGTACAAGAATCTTTATTTTAAAACAACTCTAAGCATGATTAGGCTATTTTTTTTTTACTATTAGAACGTAAAGGGATTAAAAAAAGTGTGAAATTAGAAGTAAAATGAAGAACTGAAAAAGACCTAACATGACAACACATTTTTTTTTTTCACAGGATGTGTGGGTTTGCATATTTAGTATACATGAAGGGCGTCTTCTTCATCATATGTGAATCTCATGGTTTTACTTCCCTTCAAAACAGTAAGAAACAAAAAACATAAATTATTTTCCTGTAGATTTCCACTTCGAACAGATGATCATCAACAGCTTACTTTAAGGAAAACTAGAATTGTTGCACACAGGTTTTTGCTTCACATTTTTATTATAGCCAATAATTCTTAATAATTATAGATGTTTATTAATGTCAGGTATTAACCTACTTGTTAACTAAAAGAAGTTGAATGAACTGGGTGGATTTCTTTCAAAAGAACCAGACCGCGACAACCTCTCTAAAATTCTCTCATTAGTTGAACAGATATCTACGTCACCATGTGTTGCACACTAGTTCACGCCTCAAGAGCGCGCACACACAACGCGTTGGCATGCAGAATGCTAGAGTAGCCTATGAAACGGTTCTCTTAAACATCAGTTTTTTAAAAAAAAATATATATTTATTAACATATTAATTATAAAATAATATTACATTGTCAGACTTGTAATCTGACATTCTGAAAAACTACGAAAATGACTCCCACATCTGTTTTGCTCGTTTTGTTGTGTCTGGTTGGTAAGTTATACATCTATTTTTCTTGACAATAGGCCTACTGTTATCACGGTAGTTAGCAGCCTAATTAAACACTACACACAACCTATTTATTTTAAACCGGTGCGATATGTAAACCGTGTAATCTCGTTCTGCAGGTGTTTTTCAGGTTGAATCACATGAAGTTAAGTCAGTAATGCAGGGAGATTCTGTCACTCTGGACTGTAATGTTTCTGAAACACAGCTGAAGAATGTGGAGTGGAGGTTTAACAACAGTCGCATAGTTTACACAGTTAAGGGCAATCCAAAGTATGATGATGACAGATTCAAAGACAGACTGAAGCTGGAGAATAACAGATGTCTTACCATCAACGACATCAGAACCACGGACACTGGAGTCTACAAATGTAGGACTTTTATAAACAACGAGGAGTCAATAAAGACGTTCAGTTTTACTGTTTATGGTAGGTGGAATATTGATATAGCCTAATATTCTTTTAATATTGTAAATGGCACTAAATCATTTCAAAATGATATTTTTTCAAGATTATCATATTAGACATTCACATCTGGCTACATACTTTTCAGGCTGTAACAGTCATTTTATGAAAGCAAATTGCAACTGATTTTGTATCATCAATATGTCCTTAGCCAAAAAAAAAAAAAATGAGTTTGCTTCTGTTGCAATTTGTTCAAGGTTGGCCCCCAGTTTGGCTTAAAATAGGCCTACTTTTAAAACAATTGTTTCATTTTAATTGGGCAGACACAAAGCTCATTTTCATCAGATTACCACCAGATGGCAATTGAAAAGCTTTGCGTAATGATCCCTTTTTCAACATTAACTTGTCTCGCTTAGAGACATGGGTCTTTTGCACTGGAGAAACGTTTTTTAACTGGAAGAACTAGGTCCAATTTTCTCCAGCTGCAGACCTGCAGCGCCAGCCTCATGCCAGAATTATGACAAAGGATGCTGTGAGATGTCTGTAATATTTCTGTCGTGATGTGCTGAACTAATTCATGAATTAGGTGTTTATCTGCATAAACAACGCATTCTCACCCCAAGGCGTCACCTTTGACCATGCTTCAATATTTGACGTTTTAGGCGCCCTTTAGCGTCACTTACATGACGTGATCCTACGGCGTCATCTAACTGACGGTAAAGGAAAGCGTCAGTTAGAGGACGCGGTTAGGTTTAGGTGTGGGGTGGGGGTAGGGTACACGCGATCCTAGGGCGTCATCTAACTGACGCTAAAGGGGCGCCTAAAGCGTCAGATATTGAAGCATGTTCAAATGTCAGTTAAGTGACGCCTTGGGGGTGAGAATGGGCTGGCATAAAACCTGTATACCATCTATTTTTGTGTATGATAGAGTTATCAAATACAGAAAGATGCTCAGCTCTACTTGGCAATAGCTACGAGGAATCGTTCAATGATATTTAAAAAAAAGTAAAGCAGAATTATGTGTAACTAACCCAAACAATAATATTTCTTTAATTTCTGAATCTGTAATATTTCTGTCATGATAAAAAATAGCCTCATTGTTCAACACATTGTTCTTATTTTATCGATCAGGGATGGGAAAAACGCACAGAAGCTCAACCGAACGTGTTTGATGCGCGATACAAAACATCTACATATGGATTATGTTCATACTACACAAGTTGATAATATAGTAATTAATGCAACAAGCAAACATGCTGTGTTAATGAGTAAAAGGCTAAAATCAATCGGTTCATATTATAGATATAGATAAATATTGAATTAAAAATGCGAAAATAGCTCAAAATGACATAATAAGGCTGTGTGTCCACCAAAGCATTTTTAACCAGCTGAAAACATACTTGGTTACTAACGTATCCTTGGTTCTCACTAGAAGAGGGAACGAGTACTGCGTAATATCTTACACTAGGGGAAAACCTTTTTTCCACGAGATATTGAAGCCAAAATGTATCCTTAATTTTGAATTAATGTAAAACGCGTTGCAACAGCATGCAGACATAGGCAAGGCGACTTAGCGTGTCTATTGGCTGTCCGGCGGCAACTGCACAAGCCCATCGAGAGCGGCCCTTTGGGGACGGTCAAATGGGTCCTATAAATATAGCTCAATGGGCTGATATCACTGGTTTTTTCATCGCCGAAGTGAACCAGAGAATGTTGCAGGCACAGCAAGATATGCAGAACTCATTTCCTCTTCTCGAGAGAACTGAGGTTACGTTAGTAAACGAGTACGCTCTCTTATAAGAGCTTCTCTCGTACTGCGTAATATCTTACGCTAGGGGAACACAATGTAAAACGCTGTGCGTGCAGGGATCCAACACCAAAGTCCCAAGGGGCAAGTGTCCGGGTGAATATATTGCATAATCACCATGAACTCACAGAAAGTCAGAGAAGAGAGGCTAGCAGCATCATTCCCAATAAGTTAGCCTCCAAAGGAGCTAATCACTGTAACAGTGTCACACACAGTCAGGGTGAAAAAGGTTCGGCCTGAACTGAGTATTAGTATCGGTATTATTTTGCCCGTGGGGAAAACTCTTATCGGTGAATGACATCTGATTCGGATGAACTATCCATTTGAGCTGATATTCTCAGAACACCACACAGTGTTAGGTTGTGATATTCACCAATGATCGCGCGCGTGAACTCGACAATCGACTACTGTGGGCTTCGACTGGAAACAGGAAGCAAATGGGTATGTGAGCTGGCTGAATTAACATCATTTTTATTCATACCTTTCTCATCTACTGCAGTCTGATTGACCGTGGTCACTCTTAATAACAACACTCACATGGCTGTGCACTCGAAATGACAAATCAAGGATGTTAAGAGGCTAAAAGCAGGTTTAGAACATGCCCCATTGAAGTCAACAGCGTGCGAATTTTAAAAAGAAGATAACACTGTGTAGGCAACACTGATTTTTGTTGTTTTTGTCTGTACTGCCAGCACTCCAAATGTACAAAAAATGAACTCAATGTTAAAATTGACCGGAGTTCTCCTTTAAGACTCATACCTCACTTCCGGCCTGTGGCTGCTGGCCTAAAACGGCTAGTCTGAAATTTTAGGGCTAAATTCTTCGGCTTATTCGAAACACCCAGTTCAGGTCATGGAGAGCTATACTAAGCAGCTGATGCTTTAATTCGATCAGAGCTGGTGAAGAATAAAGATGTGCTGTTTTGTGAGGCTTCGGGAATATTTAGTTAACCCTGCATAGTTTGAATACCTCTGCATTTAGTTTTATTTCATGTTTTGCAGCTCCAGTGCCCATTCCTGTCATTACCAGTGTGATTTCACAGTGTTCTTCATCATCAGAAAGTTCATCAAGCCCAACATGTGTGTTGTTGTGTTCAGTGATGGATGTGTTCAGGGTTAATCTCTCCTGGTATAAAGGAATGAGTGTATTGTCCAGCATCAGTGTGTCTGATCGCAGCATCAGTCTCTCTCTACCTCTGGAGGTGGAATATCAGGATAAAAACAACTACAGCTGTGTGATCAACAATCCTGTCAGCAACCAGACCAAACACGTCTGCATTACCGATCTCTGTCGGATGTGTTCAGGTACATTAGCTATTTACTGAGCCAGTCTCTGTCTGGTACATTAGTGTATATGTACTGAGTCAAAAACAAATCTTTTTCTGTGCTCAATTTCTTTCTTCAGATGAAGTCGGTATTTCTGAAAGCACTGAAGCTGTGATCCGATTGGTCGTCACTGCTCTGGTGGGTCTGGCTGCTGTGGCTGCATTTATTGTGCTTGTTTATGACATCAGATCCAGAAGAACTGAACAAGAGCGACATCAGACCCTAAATTATGGATCTGATACTCTAAAACCAGAATAAGCTGTCTTTATTTTTTGCTTTATTTTTTTGCAAATCTTTTGTGTTTTCAATTTTTCATTTTGCATAATGTGAAAAATATTTTTTTATATATTTTTTTAAATGCTATATGAAGAGTTCAGATGCAAAAGCCTCTAAATGCCATTTGAAATTTTCTTCTTTAATGATGATTTTTGTCAAACTTGTATATTTAAGTTCAGTAATTTCACTTAAATAACATTTAATAGGTAATTATCATTGCCATTTAAGTCAAATTACTGAACTTAAATATACAAGCAAGCTTGATAAAAATGATCATTCTAGAAGAAAATTTCAAATGGCACTTAGAGGCTTTTGCATCTGAACTCTTCATATGTTCAATATACCAAAATTACAATAGAACTGTATTCTTGCTTAAATAAAACACTGACATCAGATCTGTATGATCTTTTTTTTTTTATTATTGCAAAAATGCACAAAGTAATTCTGTGTTGTCTTGGTCAAATTAGAAATTATGTTTACCTGCAGCTCTATAGCTCTACTGGAACTGTACAGATAAGTACAACTTGATTTTAAAACAGACATTGATGAGCACCTGTCACAACAACTTGGGCGAGTTTGTTCCCATATTACCAAATACAACCGGTTCTCACTTCCAAGGTGTCCGACATTGCCCCATGTCGAATAGAAATGTGGTCATTATACTGACTGGTCTCCATCAACAAGCAGTTATTTTTTTTACTAGGTACACACAAACTATGTTAATTTAAATTATATAAATGTATAATTGTTTACTATATAATGCATCAAACATATGGACATCATGTAGCCTATACTTGATAAACTTTTAGAAAAATAACAATAATGAATAATTGAACATCATTACATTACATTATTCTAATAACTTAAGCTAAACATTTGGACATTAAATTAATTAAATTAAAGATGTTAGGGTAAATGCTAAACTATCAGGCTAATAGATTAGCCTATATGCTATGCTAGTAGGCTAACTAAAACATATTAATGGTAATTTAAACTAAAATGAGCATTATTGTGGTCGTGGACCATAGTGTATCTTTCCTGATTTACCTGACTGCCTACCTGATTTCTCACAACAAATGTCTTGTCCAAATACCCACATTTGCGGTCTTGGCCACTTGAGAGCGCTTGTGGCAGGAAGTAGCCTATAAGTGCGTAAGACTGTCTCTTCATTATGCCAAACATACTAAACAATATCTCCGATACCGCCTCGTAGCAGAAAACATTCCACTGTCATTTAAATTGATTAGATGCATCATTAGGCAGTAGTGGAGACTGTAGAGTCTCGCCACTGGTAGCCTACTCTCAGTTCTCAATACCAAATACATCTGGTCAAAAAACAAAAACAGGGTTTGCAATAGATTGCATCTAAGTCTGTGTTGTTTATAATATAATAAAACTAGATGAGTTAAGTTTGTGAGTTGACTTGACAGAGCCCATGTCTGAATGTAAATAAATAAATAAAGTTTTAAGATTTTACTTAAAATCAATCAAATATTAACATGTTCTAGCACATTTCTAAACATTTTAGCAAGTTTCCATCATATTTTAACACATCATTTTAGCAAATTGCTCAATTTTATCATAACTTAACATGTTTCTAGCATGATTTGCTAGCATGTTTTTAGCATCAGTAGGCTACATTGTTGCTCACATGATTTAGCACAGCTTACAAGTTTCAACATGTTGCTAACATTATTAGCACATCACTTCAATTATTGTTAAAAAGTTTTGACTAAGTAATGGGATTTATGGAAAAGGAAGAGCATCGGTGTGTCGCCAGTGTTTTCTTCAGTTCAGATCAATCAACAGACATGAAGGAGATGGTTGTTGAGAAAGTGAAAACACAGTCACTTGTCTCCATCTACTGGATTAATAATGTAACATAAAGGAACACTGACTGAACAAAACAATTCTAAAAACAATCAAATAAAATAATAAAAGTTTGCTCTATTATGGTCACTTTTCAAAATATGCCCTTATTAGATCTCAGTTGTTGTCTATGATGTGAAAATAACAACATAAACAAAGAATTAATGTGTAAACTTGAATACAGTTCTTCGTTAATTGTATTCAGTGTATTTCATGGGTTTTGGAAACGAAGAGGTTTTTTTAACAAACAAAAACAGGGTTTGCAAGACATTGCATCTATATAATTCTGCGAGCCGACTGAAGGAGTCTTCTTATTGGCTGAAGAGTTCTCCCCCGTTTGGCTCTTTTGAGTTTCATAAAATCAAGCTAAGTTTTTCAGGCATAAAGCCATAAGACTATTTACCTCAATGATTTGCGCTGTTTTGTTCTGTTTGTTGTTTTCTGGTGAGTTCTAAATAGAGCTCACTATGGCCATAAAGCTATGGGAAAGGGCAGGAGTAGTTTACCAGAGGTCACAAATAGAACCCACCCCCACCTGAATACCAGTGATAAAGTCTACATAAAGTCTTTAAAGCATTAAAATGATTTAGATGTTTTATAGATTTATAGACCTAATCTAATCTTGTTCTTCAGGAGTGTTTAGTGTTGAGACTGGTGAGATAAACGTCCAGTCAACATTCCCATGTGGGTTTTTGATGGGCTGTCACTTGAGCCCTGCAGGCAATCCAAATGGGGCCCCGAGAAATGTGTCTCTTGGCTCCACATATAGGCCATGTATGGTAACCCATAGGGACACATGATAGGTCCACAGTGGGCTCTAATTGAAGATGTTCATTATATGGGCTCACTTTGGTCCCAAATGAGTGCTAGCGCTTTAGCTGATGCGGTAGTTCAGCTCGCTTCATTAAGTTTGTTAAATCTCGATGCAGTATGGGCAAATGAAGCCTCATGAAGCACTGAGGCAAGATTCGAAGCATCAAGCGTGTCGAAAACAGCGCCATCTTGTGGCAGGTCAAATTTATAGCAGCCATAAACCCCGCCGGTGCGCAGGGCCGTTGTTTTATCTATTAAGCACTTATAAAAGCCTGACAACGCTAAATGTTCAGATTTCTGATCATATAATTCACATATTAAAGTGTCGCATGTGGCAGTAAATTAAATGTAACAATTATATTAATACTTTTATAAAAATAACAACAGATTTGCTTTATACAGGTAAATGGTGGTAATTTATTGTCTATTTGCAATTGCACATATCCATGAACATACCATTGGAACAGAAAGTCAGGTCAGGTCAGTCACAATTTAAATCCCCATGCTAATAATCTGAAAATTACACTTAGACGAAACACCAGTTTCCGATTATTCATGATCTTTACAAATGTGATTTGTGCACATGGCTCTCAAAGTAATACTCAGAATTCAGCTTTGCAACTGTTTTTAAGATTTCAGATTTGATCATGAAACAAAAAGATCAGAAGTAAATAATACACTTTCAAATGTTTCCATTTTGATCTAGTAGTCAAGCATGTTGCGAAAAAAAACACATTAAACATGATTTATTTTATATATTTGTACCAAACACTTGATGAGTTAAAAATCTCTTTTGGAAGCTTTTTCCCACCATGGAATAAAAAATAAAAAAGTAAATGGTTTAATTTTTGCGAAATTAAGAGTTTACTTCTTGCTATATTTGATTTTTTTTCTAAAGGTCAGTCTTTTCTGATATAGGCCTACTGAGTGTTATTTTTCATTTAGCAAAAAGACTATTATAGTTTACATTAATCCCTTTGTCTTTGCATGACACATTGGCATGGCAGTACACTGAAAAAAAAAGTCTGTTGGATTTACATGATTTGATAGTGTACATCGGTCCCACATGAACCAATTAAGTTACACAAACATAATTTATTCATGTACCTTTAATGTCATGGAATTAAGTCATTTTAAGTTATCCAATTAAGTAGTCTCAAAGTGATTTTAAAAGGCTCCCTGATTGGCTGTTTCAGTTATTCAAATTCATATTCATTTATCCAATTAAGATTGAATGTATTTATCACACATCTCAATATCTAGTCTATAGCCTGCAGTTAGCTACCAATAGTACTTGGTAGTTGGTAGCATATTGAATACTAAAGTATACATACAACATCAGCAAAAAGCAGTTGCTATAAACATAGTTGAATCGGTCCACAGCCTAACCAAATCATCCACTCTTCTCCACAATGGTAACCAACTGTAATTTAAATGGTTCTAATAATTCCAATGTAATTGAACATTAAACACAATTACACACTAACCTTTTCTTATTTTCTCAAAAACATATAAAATAACACTTCATTTCAACATTTATTCTCTCGTAATTCAGACATATACAAAGCATGCTGGGAATTAACAGGCACCGCCCAATTTCAGTTAATGCAACACAAATCATTCATGTTATCCAACACAAACGGATTAAGTAAACTTAAATTGTACATATATTTAAGCAGATTGGACACAATCAAATTAAGTTTGGACAAAATGTAAAGCAATTATGTTGCTTAAGCTAATTTTAATTAAGCGATTTGAACAAGCAGCAAAAATATTTTTTTTTAATGTACAGAATAGCTCTTTCGGCATTACCTGAATGTTGTATATAGCGGTGTATCATAACAGAAGAAAGGCTTTCTGGAGAGTGTGAAAGCATCACATCCTCAGGATTTTCCCGGCAAATTCTGCCTAAATCTTTCGCTTAAAAAAACAGTCTACAGGCTTTTCTAAACTACCTAGGAAGTTGGGTAAGGTCTTGTTTTTTGAAGTTTCATTTCAATCATTTCAGACATTGACAATAAAAAAATGAGGCAATAGCTACACTGATCAGTATTTCATGCAAAGCATGTTTACATTGTTACAGATTATTACAGGTTGATCCTTCTCATTATTCATCCTGATCCTGAGTTTGATTCACTTTATCTTCACTGAACCCTGTTATAAAAACAGAAATATTCACAGTAAAGTTAAAGTTAAAAAAATGAAAATAGTAACAAATAATTAATAGTGTTGATAAAAATGATGATAATACTGTTAGCTAGGATATATGTTCCATTGCAATACACTTGTTTTTGTTTTTTAGCCTGCACCATAATGTATTACACACTGTGAAGAATATGTTGTGATTTGTACATTTTAATTTAAATCATTCTTTGTTCTTAAGGTTTTTTTTTATAGCTGATATTATGATAATTAATGGAGAGCACTGACAGTTCGATTGACTTGATATAAAAGGTCCACTTATTGACCACTGGCTCAGGAGTTAATATTTGTTAAATTAAACAATTAATGGTGTCCAATCAATGGAGTAAATGACTAAATATTAAAATTGAATGGCTAAAACAGCAGCAGATCAACTCTACATGTGTGTTGGTAAGGTTGATAAGGTTACCTGCTCTGTCTAAAGAAAAGTGCTGATATAACACAAGATCAGTGGTGCATTTAATATTTCCATATTAATTGTGTTTCTTTGTCAAGTTGTTTGTATGTAATACTTACGTCTTTGGCTTGGTTACTTATACTTCTTGCAGTAAAAAAATAGTAATAGCCCAAATCATCAGAACACTGGCAGATATTCCTGAAACAGCACCTAAAGAACGTGAATCTGTAGTGATAAAAAGAGTCATTAGTGTGAATGAGTCTGATCTATAACACACACTATAAACATCAGCACTATATAATCTGAGTGTAGATCTGATACTGTAATGATAGACAGACATTAGTGTGAATGTGTCTGATCTATAACACACACTATAAACATCAGCACTATATAACCTGAGTGAAGATCTGATACTGTAATGATAAAGACAGACATTAGTGTGAGTGTGTCTGATCTATAACACACACTATAAACATCAGCACTATATAACCTGAGTGAAGATCTGATACTGTAATGATAAACACAGACATTAGTGTGAATGTGTCTGATCTATAACACACACTATAAACATCAGCACTATATAACCTGAGTGAAAATCTGATACTGTAATGATAAAGACAGACATTAGTGTGAGTGTGTCTGATCTATAACACACACTATAAACATCAGCACTATATAACCTGAGTGTAGATCTGATACTGTAATGATAAAAACAGACATTAGTGTGAATGTGTCTGATCTATAACACACACTATAAACATCAGCACTATATAACCTGAGTGAAGATCTGATACTGTAATGATAAAGACAGACATTAGTGTGAGTGTGTCTGATCTATAACACACACTATAAACATCAGCACTATATAACCTGAGTGAAAATCTGATACTGTAATGATAAAGACAGACATTAGTGTGAGTGTGTCTGATCTATAACACACACTATAAACATCAGCACTATATAACCTGAGTGTAGATCTGATACTGTAATGATAAAAACAGACATTAGTGTGAATGTGTCTGATCTATAACACACACTATAAACATCAGCACTATATAACCTGAGTGTAGATCTGATACTGTAATGATAAAAACAGACATTAGTGTGAATGTGTCTGATCTATAACACACACTATAAACATCAGCACTATATAACCTGAGTGAAGATCTGATACTGTAATGATAAAGACAGACATTAGTGTGAATGTGTCTGATCTATAACACACACTATAAACATCAACACTATATAACCTGAGTGTAGATCTGATACTGTAATGATAAAGACAGACATTAGTGTGAGTGTGTCTGATCTATAACACACACTATAAACATCAGCACTATATAACCTGAGTGTAGATCTGATACTGTAATGATAAAAACAGACATTAGTGTGAATGTGTCTGATCTATAACACACACTATAAACATCAGCACTATATAACCTGAGTGAAGATCTGATACTGTAATGATAAAGACAGACATTAGTGTGAGTGTGTCTGATCTATAACACACACTATAAACATCAGCACTATATAACCTGAGTGAAGATCTGATACTGTAATGATAAACACAGACATTAGTGTGAATGTGTCTGATCTATAACACACACTATAAACATCAGCACTATATAACCTGAGTGAAAATCTGATACTGTAATGATAAAGACAGACATTAGTGTGAGTGTGTCTGATCTATAACACACACTATAAACATCAGCACTATATAACCTGAGTGAAAATCTGATACTGTAATGATAAAGACAGACATTAGTGTGAGTGTGTCTGATCTATAACACACACTATAAACATCAGCACTATATAACCTGAGTGTAGATCTGATACTGTAATGATAAAAACAGACATTAGTGTGAATGTGTCTGATCTATAACACACACTATAAACATCAGCACTATATAACCTGAGTGAAGATCTGATACTGTAATGATAAAGACAGACATTAGTGTGAATGTGTCTGATCTATAACACACACTATAAACATCAACACTATATAACCTGAGTGAAGATCTGATACTGTAATGATAAAGACAGACATTAGTGTGAATGTGTCTGATCTATAACACACACTATAAACATCAGCACTATATAACCACAAAGATCACAAAGAGATGATTACAGAGATTTTAAGGATAGTTTGTATTCCTCAGTCAGCATTTTGCAAGTGTTCAAGCATACTAGTTTCTATTTAGGAATCTTAATATTTATTTTATTAACAAAAGTGCATTCTGTAATTTATGTGTCACTAGCATAACCAACCAGAACTGAGAAAATAATGACTGTATTAAAAAGAGTTTCCTGAACAATCCCTTTGTCTGCCGCTGACACGAGGTGTCTGAAATCATGTTCAGTCAGAGCAGGTCAAACAGTTCATGGAGAACTTGCTTCTTGAATGTTAAAATGTTTGTTCTAAAAAGCATGTATGTGTGTATTATGAATACAATGTGTTATGAATACAATATGGACATAATACATCTGCTCTGTTAGTATTTCATATGACCTATGATGGCAATTGTGTGCCTGTTCCCTGATATCTACTAATTCTTTCCCCTAACCTTGTGGGATATTATAGTGTTCATCCATTGTGAATTTTATAATCTTGTTGGGAGCACTGGTCATCCATGTATTTTTTGGCTATTGCTGAATGAATACTGTGTGTTTGGACATTTGATGTGCTGTTTTTCACATGCTGTGTTGTAGAGATGTAGATTTATTTGGACACGGGGTCTGTCTTGTCCCCTTGTCTTGAAAAATTGATTGTCCCGCCCCAAAAAACAAAAAATCACTTCATTGGTTGAGCCAGTGTTGCTATATCAGACTGATCTAGATGCTCAAACAAACAGATCAGGCACGATAACTTTTGATAAGAAGATGAGAAGTGAGAGGTGTGCTGTACTTAAGCTACACTATACATTCCCTATATATCATGCTGTCAGCCAACATAAATTTTTTTTTTTCTACAATCTTAATTATTCAACATGTATTGAACTACTAAAAATTTGATACCGAGACAAATATGTAAATGTTTGCAGACTGGAGACATGTACAGATATATTGACAGATATATTGCTTAGGGAAGAGTTCATGTGTACAGACTGAAGTCAGATGATCAGTATATTAATGGCGGTGTATTACAGAATATGAGGCAGAGTAAAGAGACTTGAGAAGTGGAAAGAGAGAGATACACTGGATGTCAGTAGTAATAGACAGAGAGATGACAGGATGGACAGTTTCATAATGTAAAAGTGTCAACATACTGTATGAAGAGTAGATGACAAAAAAATTGTGAGACGTTTGAGAAATAAATGACAACGGAAAAGCAGGAATGATGAACTAAAGCACTGCCAACATAAACCTTAAGGCATGTTTGTAACTTTTGCCGCTCTACTGTCAACAGATGACTGTATTAGACAAAGTTTAACTTTTTAAATCTTTACAATTTACAGATACAACAGTTATGCTTAGTTGTAAATAATTCCATATTGTTTTTCATCTCAAATTAATAACCAGTTTCCATTTTGGTGTCACCAAGTGCCATTTTTCAATATTTACATTCTACAACAAGAAAATGTTTCATGAACCGTATATTTAGTGATTTTACAAACAAATTTAAATTATAACTTATTCAGACTTGTGCCTTTGAATTTATTGATTTTTTGAGTTAATGACAGCACAGTTTAACAAATTTATGTAGAAAATATATTTAATTTAAATAAATTGCTCATTACTTTACAAAATATTTAAGCTTCTCTCACTTTTAGTCTATAATGATATAACAGAATATTTTACTTGAACATTAAACCCACATCTATCATCTTTCTAAAGAGTCCTCAGTTATGCATGTAGTCCAGAGGGTTCATGAACTCTGACTGGTTTAGTGTGTGTATGTCAGGTTTGGGTTTGAGCTCAACTAGTGGGGGCGACTGTTAACAGGTTAACTCTTGATCTCCAAACTTCCACAGTATCAGTTCACCAGTAACACCAGTGTGTAGAGTGACAGTATCTCCCTTCAGCACTGATAGTGATGTCACATTATCTGTCACAGTAACAAACACACGAGAAGAAACAGAAACAGTTTAAAACAGATCAAGCTTATAATGCTTCAGATCTAGAAGTCAGAGATGCTGAACATCTTTCACTCAGATTCTTTAGATGCTGCTCTTGCTTTTCTTTTGCTCTCTGTTTTTGTTGAATTGATTTCTGAATCTGCCTATATAAGGGTTGTAGACCTTTATTGTTATTGTTTTGAGTTATGAAGTTTGCACGTTGCAGTTTAAATGAGTACGCTCATCGGAAACTGTTTTGTTTTTGCATATATTTACACTCTTTGTTGTGTTTTCCTACTTTTATCACTAAAGTTTCTTCCTTTTGTCCCTGTGGCGATTGAAACTGTTTGTATCTTTCTGAATGAGTCCTTACATTAATCCCAAACTTGGTGTTTTATGAAACAATGTGTTTTATGATGTAAAATGCATGATAACTATTTCATAATTGGCACTATATATCTAGGTCACTAATCAAATGTAAGTAGTGACAGAACTTTTTACAAAATGTCCTGAATTTGCAGACTCTGGTGTCAGTGAACATCTTTTGATCTTTGCCTATGAGCTGTTAAAGGAAGAAGCTAATTGTAAATGGTTTAATTGTTTTTAAGATATGTTTTAAAGTTATGACGATTTTTTTCCCCTTTTTTCTTTTATTCTTTTTTAATAATGTTGTGCTGTCTATCCTGGCCAGGTCACTTCTGTAAGAGATTTTTAATCTCAGAAAATTTTATCTGGCAATAATAAACAATAAGAGTAAAGGAGTGTCATTGATTATGTGACTTTACAGACGGCATTAAGCTCAACATTTTCTTAAGATCGTCTCAGATCAAATATATTCATTGTGGAGCTTCATCTATCATCAGTCTTATTAATGTGTCTCATAAAACACTGCATTAAATATTAATAAGCAGTGTCTCCCTAACAACAACTCTAATCTGTGTGAGCTTTGTTACTGTTTACTATCACCGAAACAGGAATACTAAATATATAAAAGGAAGTAATGTAAAAGAGAGACATGATCAGATTAAACAAAACAATAAAAGAGTATGGTTATTTATATGTCTTGTTTAATCCGTTTAAATTGTGAAAATAACTCTAGATTGCTCTTTGCTGTACATCTCTGAAGCATCAATGTTATAGTTCTGTCAATAGATAACATTTCACTACACATCTTTCATTTTTTACACATTATTCTCTTAACTTAAACTCATTGCTGCTTTTTGTTAATTGACTAAAAAAAACAGGTTTTGGAGAATAAACCTCTGATTATTCCACATAATCTAAACTGTTCTCAGAAAATGAATCTAGATTTTAATTATCAGATTGTAAGACTTGAGTACTCACCGGTGACAGTAACACTGAATATTTTGGATGTCTCATTTGTGCTTTTCTTGATGTTTAGTGTATAGGGTCCAGCATGGTCAGATGTGATGTTTGTGATGGTCAGATATCCAGTCTGCTGTTCCAGATTAAGACAGTTTTTGAATCTCCCATCATCACCTTCAGATTTATAGAAGTTTCCAGCTGTTCTTTTTTGCGCTATGATTATATCATTAAACTTCCAATTAGCTGAATCATTTTTTTTTATTTCAGCTTGATGTTTTAGAGTGACAGAATCCCCCTTCATCACGGTCACATCAACACCAAACACACCTGATGGGGGAAAACATAAAAGATGTTAATTCTTGATCAAGCCAGACATTTTTACAGTGCAGCAAATGAAAAACCATGTTATACAGTGTTTTTCATTATTACTGAAGTGCTTTCTACGGCTGAAACTGAGAGATGGAGAATCCAGAACCGAGTCTCTTACTGCTGTGCTTGAATCATATATCGTATATTTCCCCAATACCCATTTCAAATAAACATTTACCATAAAACACACTTTACACTTTATATAGTCTCATGTAAGGATATTGTTTTGAATAGCCTCCATTTCACACTTTCATCAGTGTTGTGTCTCCTGAAAATGATCCTGATGTGACTTGTAATTTCAACATTAAACATAAATTGTAAAACATATGTGGCTGTATGTGGAAGATCACATGCAACACTCAAACAAAACACACAAAATAAATCAAATTAAAAGTGCAGCCTGGAAGCACTGGATTTAAAAACAAAATGCAATTAACCAAAATAAAATGTTATTCTTAAAATGTTAAATGTTCCTTATAATTGAATAGCATATAAATATATCCATCCATAAAGAATGTTTTAAGGTTCTTATAGAGAAGACCAGAGAGTGTAGTTTGGGTGAGTTCAAGCACCATCACTTCAACTTAGAAATGAAGAACAGAATTCAATCAGTCATGCATGAACACCAGCATTCTCACATCACAGTAAAGGCCATGTCCACACGGACACGGGTATTTTTATAACCGCAGTTTTTCCATCCTGCGTTAAAAAAAAAACCTCCGTCCACATGAAAACGCAAAAACAAGATATCAAGCGCTGTCAAGAGCATGCAACATCAGCAGGCGGCGATATAAACCTAACTGTAAGCCACGTTAGCCAATCAGAAGCCGTCAGCGGTGCAAAAACTCCGGTTTCGCTGTCAACACACGACAACACTGCAACCGGCGTATCAGAAAATACTCACCCTGGCAGGGGTTTTCAAAAATGTTCGGTTTCAGTGTCCTGGTACTGCGTTTTGCGTGTGGACGAACGGCCGAACCGCGTAAAAAAAGTCACGGTTATAAAAATACCCGTGTCCGTGTGGACCAAGGGTAATCCATCGACCGGAAGTTGAAGTCTCGCGGGAGCTGACATCTTGTAGCAGAACGTCACTTGCGTTAGCATTCCCATTGACTCCCGTTCATTTTGGCGTCAGTTTGACAGTGAATAACTTTAAATCTGAGGCGTTTGAAGACCCCATTTATCCTTTATTTATTTCTAAAGAAACACGACAATGTATAAATAGCTCCATTACCTTGTAGCTTATGTTATGGCCCCGTAGAAGCAGTTTTAGTGAAAGTAGGCTAACGATTGCGTCATACCCACGCGACTCTCGGTCGCACAGTTGAGAGATTACCGTCTGGACAGGAGGAGAAGCTCGCGCGCAGTCGGGGAAACGTGGAGGCAAAATGACAAAATAATTAATCAGAATAAGTAGCAAAATTGTCTCCTTCTCCTAGCTCATGGACAGCTCCTACTCACACTCTCCGCCTCTGCATGTTTCGGAAGGGAATGATTCAGATTTCTCATACCACAGCCACTAGAAGACAGACGGGTCACTCACGTTCAACTACGTCGTCAAGCTCTGTTTCTGCGCGTCAGGGACGGAAGTGCTAAAAAAAATCGCCAAAAACGAGCTTCAATCGTCTCAATGGAGTTCCAATGAGATCGCTCTGTCCATTTCTTTTACCGTCGTGATAAACACCTGTCTGTGATTCCAGTGATTGGCGTTGAGAGAGCGCATTTAAGCGGGCCAGGTGGACGCTACAGTTGAGAGAGAGCCTGGAGCTTGTGTGCGTGTGTCTGGGACTGAAGCTGATCTGTGATCGTGTCTGAGAGAAGCTGTAAACAGCGGGAAGAGTGCCACGTCAGAGACGGGAAAGCTGTGAACAGCGGGAAAGAGTTTGATCTATCCTATAGTATCCAGCTGCAGACTAGGGATGGGGAAATGAAGCTTCATGAAGCAATGAGGCTTTCCCCTGACTGTTCCGAGAAAAGATTCAAAGCTTCGAGAGTGTCGAGAACACCGCCATCTGGTGCTTATTTAAAATAAAGCAGCCCGAAGCTCTAGCAGATGAAGCAACCACAACACACTACAGTTTCAATGTTATGTGTACAAATAAAAACCTTACATGTTTGTGTTTTGTTCATTTGATAAATTCATTTTCCCATTAAAGTGGGACAATAAAATATAATATAAGCTTATATTATTCAATAAGATTTAATGTATCTCTCTGTACACACACACTGTACTCTAACACACACTATAACTCTTTTTTGGCTGTTGCCATTGCTCTAATACAAACCCCGAACACCAACACCCTATCCCCTCGCTCCTAATCCCACCCTAAACCCAAATACCAACACCAAATAACCTTAAATCCACCAAAGTGCAAAGATTTTGCAAAAACAAAAAGACAAAACAAAAAAAGACTAAGTGGTGAAAAATAAATTTTGGTTATTTAATGAATTATATTTATTAACTTTCAAAGTACAGCACTCTCCTCAAACACCCATCAACCAGACTGAGGCAACATTGACTCGTTAAAGTTCGAGCCTTGACACCCAAAGCGAAACTCGCACGTGATCGGACAGAAAGTGAGGCTTCATTTGTCATCGATCACGTGACTCTGGGAAAACCAATACACACCCCGATACGGGGCTTCACTAGAAAGTGTGTCGCATATGTGATACGCGCTTCGAAGCTTCAGTGTCATACGTAACATCACTACTGCAGACCCGCAGCACACCAGTTTCAGAATCCCAGCGCCAGAACCGGAAGTAAGGGGCGGAGTTAGGTTCTAACCAACACCAGCGCCAGGAACGTAAGTGAGGGGCGGAGCTTAGATTTGAAACCTAATAACGCCACCTAACGTATTTTGGAGGGTATTTTACACATGAAACAGCTTTTATTGAACAAGACACGTCCTACTCTCTACGTATGTTATGATGCTATATTACTATACAATAAGCATTTTAAAACATTGATTTTGTGTAAAATAATTGTATATAGTTTCAGTTATTTGTTTCATTGTATTACAAGTTACTTCCTGATCATGATGGTGAAAAAATAATACTTGAAACTTATGGGCATTTTAATGTATAACAGTTTAATAATTTTAGCTAAGCAGTTTATACATACGTGTAAATTTAGGAAGATAAGACCTTTGTTTTTTTTTTGGTTTTTACGAAGGAGTTAACTTTGTATAATAAAGCTTTGAAAGATATAAAACAAGACAATGATTGGAGGTTTTCAAAATTATACACAATCTGATAACTCATTAGACCTCTGTGATATTTTATGTTCTATTTATTTATTTATTTATTTATTTATTGTGTTTCCAAAAATCTTAAATTGTTTTGATATTGAAGATGTATTTGTAAGATGATTTTGATTGTTTACGCATGGTTTTTTTTTTTTTTATAAAATATACTTTATTTCACAAGAACATGTGCAGCATGCATTTTTTGTGTAAAATAATGTCAAAATCTTAAAAAGAGAGAAAATTCGGCATTGTTTTGTTAAAAATCTATACAAAATGACCAATTCAACCCAAGATAGGCCTGTTTTATCACGACAATTTTGTTTAAATTTAACTTACAATGTATCAAATGGGGAACTCAAGGCCCGTTTTGTCCTTACATGCTTGCTAAAATAATTATAATGCAATAATAATAATTCCGCCCTCCCTCACTTCCGGTTCTGGCGCTGGGGTTCTGAAACTGGGGTTCTGAAACTGGTGGTGCTGCGGGTCTGCAGCTGGATATATCTCGATCTATGGGCTATATGCACGCATAAGTTCCGCATTTTACGCAAGGATGCTCGTCCATTTCCGGTTGTGTAGATTAAAGCGGAGGAAAACCGAGGAAAATGGGATTATTATGGCAGAGTCTTCAAAATGTACTGTCCTCCCGTCTTTGAAACGAAACGTACATACGTTTAGATGTAATTTTATATATAGTTATATTTATTTAATATAATTTTTAAAAGAAGCATAAACACAACCATGGGGTGTCTGTTTTATCTGCAGGGGCGTAGCACCAAATTCTGGGCCCTGTACACTCTCAATGTCAATGGGCCCCCTACACATGGCATTGTACGATGCGGGTTAGCAAAGTGAAAATTCAATTTTGAATGAAATGTATTTTTTTAATTATTTGAATATAAACAAATATAAACAGTGTTTAAATAATAAAATCAGATTATAGTAATGACTGGTTCTTTCATTCACCACCTGAATTGATGCATTTGGCCTACTTGTGCTCAAATACCTTTAAACCTTATAGGCTACATTATTATATTATTATATTATTATTATTATTATTATAGGCCTACATATTAGGCTACATCGGTTTTGTGTACTAACATTTTGATCCATGATACTGATGCAAGTTTTAAATGAAAAACATTTATTTTTAAGTAGGAGAACACGAGAGACAACTGTACCCTCAGAAACCAGGTTAAACTGATGCTACCAACTTTCTCAGTTGGTCGCATCAGCATTTGATTTCGTCGCGGTTATTTTTTTATTTTTTTTGCTACATGCCATGGGATTAATCAATGCATGCCGATGAATAGTGGTTTTAATGGACCAAAGCCAGCAAAGGCTTACCATAAATACCTGTAATATATTAATTATCATTGCCAAATTTCAGGATTTTCATGGATTTTGGACAGTAATTTTAATCTGTAATTTTAAGAATTTTACATTTGAATTACATTCAATCTATCTATTTACATTTGAATCATAATCTTCTGTGTCTGTCATTTTTCTATTAGCATCATATTTCTATCTTTTAAAAATCATTAAACATTCAAATGTACATTACATTTTAAAAGATTAGAGTATTACAACAAGCTAAAACAGATTTTTCGTTATCAAATTTTATAAGTTAGTTCAAAAATCAGAAATCTCACACTCCTTACCTCCTGCATTTTGTAATAATTTGTTTCCTGAGACATTTTAATTTTTATATTTTTATTCATGAATTCGTAATTGGCGTGTTCCACCATCAGTGTGCAATGCGCACGTGACGTCTATGTGTCTTGCGGAAGAACACTGTTGCCCCTAATTTCGACCCCCTGCCAAATTATTACCCCCCTCGTTGAAGTCAGTACCTGATTGCCTAATCCCAACCCCGCCCCTAATCTTAACCCCTCCCCCACAACTAATCCTAAACCTACCAATACTAGGGGGGTAATAATTTGGCGGGGGTCGAAATTCGGCACAACACCGGAGCTACTTCTCTCCATAATGTCTATGAGTCACGCAGTCACTGGGCAATTTCGCATCCGAGTCAACCCCGGGAATCCGGGATAAAAAAAATAGTCCGAATATAAACACTTATAACAGGCGTAATGATTCAGGATAAGTCAAAAACACGGTTTGGAAAATGGATTCATGATGTAGCCTACTCGTTCGTTTTGAACATACGGACTGCAGTCTGCAGCAGCTGATACAACGGTCGGTGTTCTTTTGCGCGAGCGTCCAATATGCGACGCGACCACATCACATACAATTTTAACTCGCACAATCAAATCCTCAAAAAAATGGTCGCATATGAGACCAATTTGGTCGCAGTCTGGAACCCTGCATTAGCAGCAGCTGTCTGGAGTTGACTAAGTTACGTTAACTTTAATTGGATGTAACGTTAGGTGCATATAGCAAACTCAGTTCACCTTTTGGGAAGAAAGCAGTCATCAGCTGCTTCCCCGCATTCTGCCTCCCATCTTTTTCTTTCCTCTCTTTCTTTTTTTTAAAGCCCGATTTGGGCTTTTTGCACAGCATGATCAGATCAGGCTCCCGTTATAGGCTCTAGACTCACTGCGTTATTACTTGTTTGCCGCCCGCTGCGTCTATGGGCGGTCGACGCGTTGCGGACTAAACCATTTGGAAGGGGGTCCAGAGTGTCTGGCACGGAGTTCATTTTGGTCAATATTTTTTTTTAAATTATTATTAATGACATCAATTGGAGGGCCCAATTAATTCTAATTAGGTTTAAAAAAAATTTTTTTTTAAATTGGTGGGATTTCAAAGGGCCCTCTCCCTAGACGGGGCCCTGAGTAGTCAGGTCCACTTTTCCCCCCACTACCACGCCCCTGTTTATCTGTTTTTGTGACTAACGTTTCTTTAACCATGGAGTATAAAATTCAATATAAATTCTCGTTATTGCGTTGGACTCTACGATCAGCGGACGTTATCGAGCATGCTTTTACACCTTCACCGGAAATACCGCCGTGCATAGAGCCCATTGTGACTGTTTTGAGTTTATTGTGATAAGCACTGAGGCGCTGTGGAAAGAGTATTTTGTAAAAATAAAGACACACAAGCTCCAGTATTCGCCGACCCCTTGTCTTCTTCCATCACCTTCACTGAACCAATCTCATCTGTTTCAACCTTCACTGAACCTGTTTCAATCTCATCACATTTAGCCTATGAAGAATTTACAGAGTAAAAAACAAAAGTAAAAGTAAAATTTCAGGAATGGCTGAAAAATAGATGAACACCAACATTTTAATTTGAAGTGTACACCAAATGCTGCGCCAAAAAATATATATATATATATATATATATATATATATAGACAAATTTTCTGATTTTTGTTTATGACTTTTTGCCCCTTTATTTAACAATTAAAATAAGTTATTATTTTTTTTTTTTAAGTTTTAATGCTTTTAATGTTTTAAAGGCCAAATTACAACTTGGAAAGTGGATGTAAGAAAAGTATCTAAAGAATTGAAAATCCCCACTTTGACCATCAGGGCAATAATCAAGAAGTTATAATCAACTAAAGATGTTACACACTATAAACATCAGCAATATAAAACCTGAGTGTAGATCTGATAATGTAATGATAAAGACAGACCTGGATCTGGGGTTTTTTTATCCAATACTGTAATGATAAAGAAAGACAGACATTAGTGTGAGTGTGTCTGATCTATAACACACACTATAAACATCAGCACTATATAACCTGAGTGTAGATCTGATACTGTAATGATAAAGACTGACATTAGTGTGAGTGTGTCTGATCTATAACACACACTATAAACATCAGCACTATATAACCTGAGTGTAGATCTGATACTGTAATGATAAAGACAGACATTAGTGTGAGTGTGTCTGATCTATAACACACACTATAAACATCAGCACTATATAACCTGAGTGAAGATCTGATACTGTAATGATAAAGACAGACATTAGTGTGAGTGTGTCTGATCTATAACACACACTATAAACATCAGCACTATATAACCTGAGTGAAGATCTGATACTGTAATGATAATGACAGACATTAGTGTGAGTGTGTCTGATCTATAACACACACTATAAACATCAGCACTATATAACCTGAGTGTAGATCTGATACTGTAATGATAAAGAAAGACAGACATTAGTGTGAGTGTGTCTGATCTATAACACACACTATAAACATCAGCACTATATAACCTGAGTGTAGATCTGATACTGTAATGATAAAGACAGACATTAGTGTGAGTGTGTCTGATCTATAACACACACTATAAACATCAGCACTATATAACCTGAGTGAAGATCTGATACTGTAATGATAAAGACAGACATTAGTGTGAGTGTGTCTGATCTATAACACACACTATAAACATCAACACTATATAACCTGAGTGTAGATCTGATACTGTAATGATAAAGACAGACATTAGTGTGAATGTGTCTGATCTATAACACACACTATAAACATCAGCACTATATAACCTGAGTGTAGATCTGATACTGTAATGATAAAGACAGACATTAGTGTGAGTGTGTCTGATCTATAACACACACTATAAACATCAGCACTATATAACCTGAGTGAAGATCTGATACTGTAATGATAATGACAGACATTAGTGTGAGTGTGTCTGATCTATAACACACACTATAAACATCAGCACTATATAACCTGAGTGTAGATCTGATACTGTAATGATAAAGACAGACATTAGTGTGAGTGTGTCTGATCTATAACTGCAATTACTGTCAATGAAAAAAGCAATGGGTGGTAAGAGACAAAAAAGCATCACATACAGCATAATCCAGTGAAACTACCTTATATTTATTAGTAATATAGGCTGATTCAGAGAGAATCATAAATGCCAACATAAAAAAAAAAACACTGAAGCTCTTATGTGGCAGATTCTGTTGTCACTGAAATATTTAATACATGTTTCTCTAATGAAAAAATATTAGAAACACAAATCTAAGGTTTCATAAGACAATGTGAAATAATGTAAATTTCCTCGACAAATTTCTAATTTCTTGCAAACAATGTCTTGTTTAACATGCTTTGTTTGTCAGATATCCTTCATCAGAGTTAAATGTAAATATATGTTGATTTGATATCTAAATTGTTCACAGATGTAAATAAGAAGATATTGATACTGAAAGATCTGATCCACTCACCCGTGACAGTAACACTGATGTTCCTCTGAACGGTGTATGAGCTGCTGATCATGTTCAGATGATAAACTCCAGAGTCTGTGATTTTGGATTTAGTGATAATGAGTGATCCAGATGGACGATCAAGATATAGTCTGCCGTTGGTGCCTTCATTGATTTCAGGAATGAGCTGGCCATTAAACATCCACTTTATCTGATCATTAATATGTAGGATAAGACCAGTGTGTAAAATGATAGTTTCTCCCTCCTTCTCTGATACTGGCGTCATTTCACCTGTCAAAGCAACAAACACACATGAAGAACATGATTACACAAATGAATACTACTTTTTTAATCAAACAGTTCAGTGTTCTGTGGTTAATCCACTACTGAAAATGTGCAAATTAAAGATCACAGCTCATTTCCATAAACACAACGCAATCTACAAGAGCAGAATAACTCGCATAGAGTTGCAGACAAGAGAGATCTAAAAACACAGGAGCAGTGAATTAAAAATAACACGGATCGGCAAAGGTTATGTTCGTATAACGTCTTTCTCTTTCATTCCAAATAAACAAACACAAGTGGAGAAAATGCTTTCCTTCTCTCACAAGCTCTCTGTTCTCCTATCAGCAAGTATTACAGCATGTCAAACACAAAACTAGTTAATGGCCAGTCCTGGAGACTGTTCTTGGATTTTCAGCAACGTTCAGCTCCAACCCTGATCAAACACACCTGAAGA